ATCCTTAAATCGAGTTTATCATTTGCAGCTTTTATCCAAAATCAAACCTTTTTTATCTTTTAATCTTTTTGAAGAGGTCATGCTCGCTTTTATTTCATCACGTCTAGACTACTGCAGCGCACTTTGCACTGGCATCTCTCAAAACACACTTTCCCATCCGCAGTTAGTCCAGGACTCCACAGCACGACTTTCAACAGGAACCAAAAAACAAGAACATCTCACACCAATCCTTGCATCTTTGCCTTGGCTTCTTGTTAATTTTAGAACAGATTTTTTAGATTTTATTATTTGTTTTTAAAGCTTAGAAAGGACTGGCCCCACGTTACATCTTGGACCTCATCCAGATTTACTCCCCCGCACACGCTCTGAGGTTCGAGGGCCAGTTCCAGCTTGTGGGACCTAAGACGAGACTTAAAACCAGGGATGACAGAACCTTGTTTGTGACTGGCCCCGAATTCTGTAACGCCCTGCCCAACCCCCCTCCTACATCCCAACAGGGGGGTTTTAAGTCTCATCTTAAGACCCACTTTTACTCTGTGGCTTTAACATCGCATGAGTTGAACGGTCCTTTGTGTGTTTAATTTAATTAATTAATTTTATTATTATTATAATATTTTTTTCAGACCCTTCCAGACGGACGATTGTATAGGATACCTGGGAATATGTTTTATATAACAGCAAATAACTTTCCAACCATAAAAGGCAGAAACTTACACACAGCGTGCATGTGATGTAGGATAATGCAGGAAATATGCTCAGAAAGCTGCAAGTCTCAAGTGTTCAATAGGAGCTTTGTTTTCCGTCAAACTCATGCGCTCCATCCATTTTGATCGGCCCAAACTTTGCCAAAGAGTGTAGTGAGTTAAAAAAGTTGATGCTCTGAGCGTCTGTGTTTGTAACAATCGAAAAAGTCGATCTAAGTGCAGTTATTTCTCAAATAAACGGCAAATAACGCATTTTGGTTTGTGTAATTTCGCATCCCTTGCAGTTTTTATTCAAAAGGTTTATTTCAGTTCAAATGTCCAAATCCAAAAGTCATAAACCCCATGGAAATGCAGGAAGTGATGTGGCTCTGTGTCCTGGACCTGACACCAGCTGTTTCCATGACTGACACCAGGAAACTCACCAGGCCATTGCACTTTTTTGTTTTTTTGTTTTGTTTTGAGGCAATAAGGATATTTTTCGTTTACTTACAGACTTGATATTTTGCACTTTTGTAGCTAAGGCCCTAAATTAAGCATTTTTTTATGTCCAAAAAGTTGTTTATACATGTTTGCTGTGTATTTTGTATGAAAGAGTATAATGATTTTATTTTATTTTTTATCTTTTTCATTTGTATTTCTGGTCCTGTAGTTTTTATTACAGCCATATGACACAACTAGAGCAGCAGATTGTGAAATAACAGATTGTACTGAAAAAAAGGATATTTAACACTTCATTAGGGGGTAAAAGGGGGAGTTTTAAATGCAAAATTTAAAAAAAATTAAAAAATCCAGGCGAAGACAAATGTACTACAATTGCTCTTGGGTCTGGAAGGCTTAAATCAGTTTGAACACTTTTTATTTATTCTTTTTATTTATAATTTACTGTCTTTGGATTGGACTGAACTAGCATTCTAACATGCACTTCCTGATACAATAAAAGCTCTTTATACTTAGATGCAGACAGTACACAGCGGACTTACTTTGACCTCAAGAGCTGCTTATAAAATAGATCTTTACCGGAGCCAGACAAAAAAATCCATGTGGGAAAATGAAGCACAGAGCCGTTAAAAGCGCCACACTGTTGTTTTGTCGGATGTAAATAGTTATAATATAATCATAAAGAGTTAGCGTGCATCTGTTTAGCACATATAGGTGTTCTCTCGCCTCGTACCTCTCCGCTCGTCTCCTTTGATCAGCGAGAGATTTGTGAGTTGGTCGTGATGCGCGGCTCCTGTTTGCGGCTCCTCGTTTTAATTAGCCCAGCGTCAGTGCAGCCTCCTGTGTGAATATTAAAACAACCAAATGTGATGATGCAAAACTCTGCAAACCCCGCTGCAAACCCCGCTCCACCTGATCCGGCTCTGTTAGCACAGCATACCCTTAACTTACACCGCTGCATGCTTTGTTTTAGAGCTAATACTGAGAGCTTTGTACGCCGCAGGGAACAGAGTGTGAGTAAAATATTCTTTGGGAAATATGATGAAGAAATTGAAATGATGGGGTAACATAACGTCTAATTGTTCAGTCATTCTGTAATATTGAAAAACAGGGACAAATTTAGGTTGGATACAAGAGCATAGAAGTTATTTTGGTTGAACTAAAATAACTTTTGTCCAGTTGATGAATTGAATTTCTCCTTTTGCTGTGGATTCTACCTAGCCAGGTTGGCGCCACCTAGTGCCTCCGCTCTATTTCATTTCTCTCCAGCAACTTGGTCAAGAATCAAAATACACTAGATCAGGGGTGCTCAATACGTCGATCCGATCTACCAGTCGATCACCAAGGTCGTGTGGGTAGATCGCCGTGTCTCGTCTCGGACTCGCGTTTGGACTCGGTCTTGTCTCTCACTCGAGGTCTGACACTCAACAAGTGTGATCATATTTCATTACGGCCGCTGCTGTTGGTAATAAACTTGTAGCGGGTGCAGGAGCGTGTGGGGCGTCTCAGTGCAGCCTGTGCGCTCATTTGAAACCCGCGGAGACTCTACGGCACATCACAAACACACACGCTCCCTATGCACGGCTCGTCTGCAACAGCGTGTGCCCTCGTGTACCAGCGTGCATCACAGGGCAGGTTCAACTTCCTAAACATCCTACCTGTCCATCTGCCTCACGTCAGCACGCCGCCCCTCGCCTTTTCACGCTCTCGCTCCTTCCTGCGTACAGCGAACACAAGCCCCTCCCACAGTGCGGCTGATTAGAAGAGCAAGACCAAACGTGAAGCAAAAACCAGTCTAAATTTGTGTTCCAGTGTGTTGGCACAAAGCAGGTCTACAGCATAGAGCGGATCTACAGAACAGACCTACTGCCACATTTTGGCTGAAGTTTGTCTAAACAAAAGTGCACAAATGCATCTGTGTTTGTCACGATGTGCGTTTGGTTTGGTAAACGTGCAGAGGCTGGTAAATATCACTGCAAAACCAGAAAAGAATGAAACTCCAGTTTGGAACTTTAAAAAACAGGTTTAAAAATCTTACCTACTTCCTTCACTTTTTTCACAGTTTTGTGTAAAGTGCCAGAGGAAGTTCTCTTAAAGAAGGGGTTCTCAAACTGTGGGTGAGGGTCCAAAAAAGGGGCACAGAGTGTGTTACAGTGCAGTTTGCTTGACTTTGTATTAGGTAGACCTTTATGACTTGGTCATTTTGTAAGTAGCTCGCATGCTGAAAAAGTGTGAGCACCCCTGGTCTAGATGGTTCGCAAAAACCCTGGAAGTGCAAGTTCGGGCACCAGCCAATCAGCAAAGAGCCATATATTCAGTGTTATCAGCGATTCCCGAGATCGAGGATTTAAAGCCGGAATAAAGAGAATGTTTGGTGAATTTTATCAAGGGGAAAGACATTATTGTTCTTCTTCTTACGGGATTTGGGAAAAGCTTAATATACCAGTTAGCCCCGTCAGCGGCGCATTACATACGTGACGACCAAATAGCAGCGATTGGTTAAATGACAAAAAGTACCCGTCTACTGTCGAGGGAACGACACTGTGAGGTCAGATGGTTTCCACAAAGTAAAACTGGCTGATGAATCAGATAGACATTAGTGTCATACTTCATCTTCCAGAAATACACAGCAAAAAGTGCAATTTCAAAGTGTTTCGAATAATCAGCATTCACTTGAACAGCATTCAAACTTTGTCAGCTCAACAGGGATGGACTTAAAGGCAGTCAGTCCATCCATCAGTCCATCAATTGTCAGTAGAGTCCAGCTGCGAACAGTACACGAGTAGGGCTCTGTTTGGGAGGTGCACTTGTGGTGATAGTCGCTCTTTTTCTGCAGCAACTCATTATAAGACAAGTTTAACTGAAGATGAAGCCAAGTAAGTTCCTGTTGAAAAGTTTTTCAGAGTTTGGTGCGCAGCGGCTTCACTCATGCCTGCACAAGGCGACATCTTTCGGTGCTGCCCTGTCCTGCCGCTTTCTCAGTTTAGGCTCCTGGCACCACTAATAACATCACTCTATTGCAGCCAATGAAAAAGCGGAATGGGTAATCCTGTCGTCATATCACTCTGTACATCTCAGAATGTGTAATAAACAAAATGTGAACTAAAACATGTTCAATATACAGCGCTGGGGGAAAAAAAGACCATTGCAAAATGATCAATTTTCTTTATTTTACAACTTACAGGTATGTGAGTAAATTTATTTATTTTTTGTTTCATTCTGTAAACTACTTCCAACATTTCTCCCCAATTCCAAATAAAATTATTGTTATTTAGAGCGTTGTTCAAATGTTCAAAATAACAAAAAAGATGCAATGTTTTCAGACCTCAAATAATGTGAAGAAAACAAGATCATATTCATTTTAAAACAACAATGCTAATGTTTTAACTTAGGAAGAGTTCAGAAAATCAATATTTGATGGAATAACCCTGATGACCATCCATCTTCTTCTTGATCAATTCCAGAGGTTTTCAGTGGGTTCAGGTCTGGAGATTGGGCTGGACATGACAGGTTGATCTGCTGGTCCTTCATCCACACCTTGATTGACCTAGATGTTTGGTATTGAGCATTGTCCTGCTGGAAAAACACAGTCCTCAGAGTTGAGGAACATTGTCAGAGCAGAAGGAAAGCAAGGTCTCTTCATTTTTTTCCAGAGATGTATAATATAATATATACTATAATGCTTTTTATTAAAATAAAATGGCAAATATTGGTAGTGACTATTTTGTCTTCCCTAAATATTGGTTGTGACATGTCCCCACCGTTCCTATGCAAACCTACACCCTTGATAATATTGTTGTGTCATTGGGCAAGGCTCTATACATGTTTCCTCTGTAAATTAGTTAAACTTGATGAGTGATGGTTGAAGGCCATAGGTGCAAGAATGGTAGCCATGTGTCCTGCAGTCCCCAGGGCATCTGTGGCTACCAAACTGACTTGAGCGGCTATGGCTGTATGAAAAATGTGTAACTTTTCTGGTGGAGGGTCTGTTAAATACTCTTCTCCATGGAGATATTATTGCTGGAACGTTTCACAGTATGGCATTAAACCTTTTTACCTTCACAGAGACCAAACTAGACCATGTTACAAGTCAGATCTGTGGAGAGGCGACGCTGCTCACAGTCAGAATCCCTGTTTTTTGAGGTATTTTTGAGCTCTAAAACAAATTGTAATTGAATAAATGTAAGGTAGAGCTGTTTAATGTCACACTGTGGAACATTCCAGGCAGAGCAGTGACGTATCCATAGAAACAAGCAGGTGACGGACCCCTAACCAAAAAGTTACATACAGTAGTGCACCTGTAAGAATGATTCAGGCTTCATAACTAGTTCAATAATACCTACTTTTGTGGTGAAACCTGTTGTCTCCATGGCGACGTGTGTGTCTAATGCCATACTGTGGAACATTCCAGATAAAGTGGTACTATAGCATTTAATTTGTGGTCTAGCTTTTCTATTAGCTCAGGCAAAGTCGACCCAAAGAGCGATAATATTAAAACGAAGTCCTTGTTCTCTTCTCTCGCCATAAGTTACAATGCAAATCAATAGAGTCTTATTATTCCTTATGGCGCCTCTGTTACAAGAGTACAACTTGTCTTTTCTGTTTCCCTTCGCACTCATCAAATTCCACACAGCCTCCCTCTCTCCCTCCTCTCTTTCACTCCCTCTCTCGCTCTTCTCGGTTTATTCAAATACACTCGATGCACAGACATAATAAAGTAGACAGTAAAACGACTATACGGGCAATAAAGGTAGTCCACAAATCAGCGGGACTGGAGACGGGGGGGGCGGGGGGGGTCCGGACAGGTCGATGCGGCGTCCGGGGACTTCGCAGCTCGATGTAAAGCGGTGAAGAGAACAGCTCAGAGCGTGGTCAATGGAGTTCTACTTAAAGCTGCATCGTGTAACTTTGCCGGCGAAGCGTCCGTCAAACGCTTTTCTCCGTGGAGTTGTTGTCGCTACGGAGGCCGAGAGTTGTCGCAACAAACGCAAACGCCGCAACAAATACAAATGCGACAACACAACAAAAAAAGCCACAACACAACAAAAAGCCAGAACAAACCAAAAAAAGCCACAGTGGAAATGACCGCGGGACTCTATTTTAATGCAAACGCCGCAACAAATACAAACACCACAACACAAATGTAAATGCCGCAACACATGAAAAAGCCACAACACATGAAAAAGCCGCAACACACAAAAAAGCCACAACACACTAAAAAGCCACAACACACTAAAAAGCCACAACACATTAAAAAGCCACAACACATGAAAAAGCCACAACACACGAAAAAGCCGCAACAAACCAAAAAGCCACAACACATTAAAAAGCCACAACACATGAAAAAGCCACAAACACATGAAAAAGCCACAACACACCAAAAAGCCGCAACACACCAAAAAAGCCGCAACACACAAAACAACACATAAAAAGCCACAACACATAAAAAAGCTACAACACATTAAAAAGCCACACATATCAAAAGCCACAACACATTCAAAAAGCCACAACACATAAAAAAGCTACAACACATTAAAAAGCCACAACATATCAAAAAGCCACAACACATCAAAAAGCCACAATAGAAGTGACCACGGGACACTTTTCACGTTGTAGTTCTTCTTCACTTGCCGCTTGATCCGCTTGGTCCGTTGGAAAATAGAGTCCCGCGGTCACTTCCGTTGTGGCTTTTTGATATGTTGTGACTTTTTAATGTGTTGTGGCATTTGCATTTGTGTTGTGGTGTTTGTATTTGCTGCGGTGTTTGCGTTTGTTGTGACCCGTCTCGGCTTCCGTATATTGCTTTGTCTGGAATGTTTCACAGTATGGCATTAAAGCTTTCTATCTTCATGAACAAACCAGACCAAGTTACAGGTCAGATCTGTGGAGAGGCGGCACGGCTCACAGTCAGAATGTCTGTTTTTTTAGGTATTTTTGAGCTATAAAACCACCTGTAAATGAATAAATGTAAAGTAGAGCTGTTTAATGTCACACTGTGGAACGTTCCAGACAGAGCAATGACGTATCCATAGAAACAAGAAGGTGACAGACTCCCATCCATTAGGTTAGGTTAGGTTCGGTTGCTTTATTTATACCTGTAGGTAAATTTGTTTTGCAGATTTGAGAGGCTGGTCCCACATTTCACATTTCATTCATCCACATAAAAAAGTAGAATTACAAATAAAGTGTTACTGTGCTTCAGTGCAGAATGCTTTTGTACCATAAATAATTCATTCATTCATCACGCTTGGCTAAAAATCACAGTAAAAGTGAAACATATAAAAAACATAATTTCCCAAGACAAACGTACTAAAATTGATAGATAAACAGATTACAGTTTATTCATAAGTACAATAGCAGCTGGAACGGAGCTCCTTTTAAAAAGATTCGTTCCAGATCTTAGGACTAAAAGCCTCCACCAGAGGGAATTTTGAGTTTAGAGGACGCTGCTCGTCTTTGATAATCCTCTGGGACGTCCGCTGTAAGTGTCTTGAGTACAGAGAGTCCAGACTGCTCTGAGGATGGACGAGCAACTCACTCGCCCATTTAACCAACTGATTCAGGGAGTTCTTCTTTTTTCGCAGAGACGTGCCCAAACCATGACACTAATGAAAAAGTTAAAACTGATTCCATAAACGTTTTATAGAACAGTGTCATTATGGTTCTGTCTACACAATAGGGCAATTTCCTCAGACAATTGAAGGCGCTGGAGCCTCTTTTACACACAGAAATAAAGTTATCGTCAAAGCTCAATTTAGATTCAGTGAGTGTTCCAAGATACTTATAGGTCTCCAGGTCTCCACACCCAACTGACCGCCCCTTTATAAATGGGACGTCATTCTGAGAAGCACTTTTCCGAAAGCCAATAATCATATCCATCATTCAGCAAGAAGAGCTGAAGAACCACCAAACAAATAGCAAGCAAATGAGCACTTACAGATGAGTAAGTGGTCCCAAACTCAACAGTTACCAAAGTTCATATAGACAATATATAGAACCAGTGGTAGAAAAAGTACTCCATTTTGTTACTTCAAAAAAAGTAGTTAGAAAAAAGGATCACATTTAAAATCTACTCAAGTAAAAGTATTAAAGTACTAATTTAAAAATGCACTTAAAAACCAAAAAATAAAAGCATTCCGTACTTCTTTTAAGGCTTTTAAATGTTGGGATTTTGGTACAGATTTGAATGAATTTTCTTCAACAGAAACGTTTTTTGAACCAAACTATAATGAAAAATACTTCTACTTTCAGTCCTGTATAAGTAGTTGAGCATAAAGTAAAAAGTACAGACAGCTAAATGTTTTTATGTATTCGTTTCTAGGACATTAAATTCGATCTCGAAAGCCTTGTAGATTGGACTCTAACCCTGTGTTGTTGTGTGTTGTGTTTCAGCGTGGAGTGTGCGTTTCTCCCAGGAGCCTGCGGATCAGTCGGTGGTCCTCGGGGAGCGGGTGGTCCTGTCCTGTGTGGTCTTCAACTACAGCGGCATCGTGCAGTGGACCAAGGACGGCCTGGCACTGGGCATCGGGGAGGGGCTCCGAGGTGAGGCTGGAAATACTGCAGTACACGCACGTTTACTTCATATTTACTGTCATATTTACTGTCAACTATACGGTCTTGTACTGTTAGGGCTGCGCAGTTAAAGGGTTCATATGACACTATTTTCTGATCTATGTTCTCTGTACACAGCAACAAGTGGAGTGTTAAAATTTACTCACACAGAATTAATTTGAACATTTTCTCAGGGTTTATATGAGTCCAATCTGTTTTAAAGTTAATTTAATATTTCTCAAAATGTTAATTAAGTAACACTGGACCAAAGTTCCTGTTTAACCTCGAAATCGAGAGTTATATTAACATTCTGAGAGTTATCCTGATTATCCTGATTTTGTTTTATTTTTACACTTTATTTTAGTTAATTTAAGATGAAATTGATGTAAAACTGGTTCAAACTGGTCTTGTCTCACGGGAGTTTGACGTGGTGGGTGGGAGGAGCCAAATGAACACTACGGGAAGCTGAATTAACACTAAGAGAAGTTAAATTAACACTAAAGGAAGTTGAATGAACACTAGGGGAAGCTGAATTAATACTAGGGGAAGTTGAATGAACACTAAAGAAAGTTAAATTAACACTAAAGAAAGTTAAATTAACACTAAGGAAGTTAAATAACACTAGGGAATTTGAATTAACACTAGGGGAATGAACACTAAAGAAAGTTAAATAACACTAAAGAAAGTTAAATTAACACTAAAGGAAGTTGAATGAACACTAGGGGAAGTTGAATTAACACTAGGGGAAGTTGAATGAACACTAAAGAAAGTTAAATTAACACTAAAGAAAGTTAAATTAACACTAAAGGAAGTTAAATTAACACTAAGGGAAGTTGAATTAACACTAGGGGAAGTTGAATTAACACTAGGGGAAGTTGAATGAACACTAAAGAAAGTTAAATTAACACTAGGGGAAGTTAAATTAACACTAGTAGAAGTTGAATTAACACTAGGGAATTAACTTCAACCAAATCAACTATAACCCCAACTCAAACCCATTTAACTTTCGAATAGTGAAAATAACACTTTTTGTCTTAAAAAACAACTACGAAATATTTCACCCTGAAATTTTCACCCTTCAGTTTTTGCTGTGTAGTTTCCTCATCACAAACAGACCTGGAGTTGTGTTTTTTTTTTGTTTGTTTCATTCACACATGCATATTTAGGCTGACTTCTTCTCTCAAACAGAAAACACTCTCCGATCTCTACTGACCTAAAGGTAAAAGCAGCTTATGTTGAAAACTACCGCTTCATCACTTCACAAGGAGGAACAGAGGATTTCAGAACAGAGATCTAGACAGAATAATAAAGTGTTACTCAAACATGTGTGAATAAAACAAAACCCAACTCCAGGTCTGTTATAATATGACTTACAGCTCTCAAGAATCAATTTTGTGTAATATCAGACCTTTAACAGGAACTCTTAAAGGGATAGTTCAGATTTTTTGACATAAATCTCTATGTCATCTCATGGTGCTGAGAAAGTAGTTCGGCAAGTTGTGTGGGACTGTTACTAAAGCGTTTTTCTTCTCAAAGCAAATATGTGTTCAAAAGAGTGATACATTTGCATCACAAAACCATCGTCCCAAAAAAGTCAGATCTCATAATCGCTTGGCGCTATTTTCTCTCCGTACGTACACGGATCCATCACTTTCTTCAGTTGTTCGGGCAGTGTTTACATGCGCAGACGCCGCCACGCGAGAGAGCTAACGAGAGAGCTAGAGCCAGAAGTATATGAGCCTGGTTCACTTTGTTTACTGCTCGGAATGTTAGCGACAACATGTCTGATTATGACACCGACAATAAAAACATTGCCTTTACCACAAAGCCAAGGGAGATCTTTATGAACCCGAATATACTGATGCCGAATTTCACCAGATGGAGTTAGAACGAGCAGAGAGAGAGAGAAAAGACAGAGAAGTGGTACAAGTTGACGCTGGAGCCGTGAGAGACCGAGTGAGAGACAATCACCATCACGTCATTTATAAACTTGTATACAGGGAACATGGAGCCTCCACTGTGACTGAAGTATGGACTACTAACAGAAACATAGAATCATCCACACGTCCACGTAGCTGCTGCCAATAGTGTACGTGACATTTACAATAGTAATAACATCTGACCTATAAAGTTACGTTTTGTAGAAGCTTCACTGGTGATATGACACTGAGTGATTTACTGCACACAGAGTTTACAGCTGATTCTTGAGTCTGTTCTCTTGTAAACATAGCGGCACTTCTTCGTTCTTACCTGGTTTCGTTTCCACATTGAAGCCAAAGTTTCCTCAGCGCAAACTCCGTGACAGGAAAACAGTGAAATGTGTGTGGAGATTCAGCCAGATTTTTGTTGTTACAGCCTGGATAATCAAGAGTTCGCACCATTTTTTAGATATATTCATATGTATCTTATACAAGCTCATATACTTCTGGCTCTAGCTCTCTCGTTAGCTCTCTCGCGTGGCGGCGGTGTGCGCATGTAAACACTGCGAACAACTGAAGAAAGTGATGGATCGGTGCGCGGCTGTCACCTGGCGGCCGCGCGCAGTGGTACGTACGGAGAGAAAATAGCGCCAAGCAATTATGAGATCTGACTTTTTTGGCGACGATGGTTTTGTGATGCAAATGTATCACTCTTTTGAACACATATTGCTTTGAGAAGAAAACGCTTTAGTATACAGTCCCCACACAACTTGCCGAACTACTTTCCTCAGCACCATAACCGGCCAGTATCTCGGCTCACCGGACGCTTTCGGGGGGTAAGTCAGTGTGGATGCACGACACTGATGAGGGGATGACATACAGATTTATGTCAAAAATCTGAACTATCCTTTAAGTGTGTTAAATGTGCATGTACATATTTCCTTGAGTGACTTTTTCTGTCAAAGACGCCACCTGCTTTCATTTCCTCTACTAGTTCTATGTTGTCAAAAGTATCGAAAATCAGATACTAACTGATATTAAAACTAGTACTGAATCTAGATACTCATTTTTCGCATTGATAGGACAGAAATGAAGCTTTTCGGAATGTTTTAGAAGGACCTGGAGCTGCATCAGGACAAGCCTAAGAGCACATAGACTATTACACGCCTATAGACCAGTTTAGACCAGTTTTAGATCTGGTTTAGACCTGATCCACTATGAAACCTACCTGAACCACTGAGGAATTACACAGATATAAGGCCGCATGTGAAAAGAAAAGAAAGTACTATGATCTAATGCTGAAAATCACATTCTATTGTCTAAACTAAGAGTGTACTGAATCAGAATCATTTTAGTATCCTGACAGCACAGTGTTCTCTTCATTTTAGGCAAGCTGATGCACTTCCTTCTCTCTAAATTAATATAATCACTTAATGTTATTATTATTCCCTAATTAAGCAGAATACATACTGAGCTAATTCTGATCTTTGAGCTTTTAATTGGGTGCATGCGGTTTCCTCATCAAATACGTATCTGTCTATATTTCTGTATCCAGTTGTAGCTTAAAGGTCCCGTATTAAACAAAACTGACTCTTGTGAGCTTTAAATTGCGATTATAATGTTGTTACGTCCTCAAAAACAGACCTGGAGTTGTGTTTTGTTTCATGTTTAAGTAGTAACAGCTACTTTTTTTGTACCTTTAGTTCAGTAGAGATTGGAGATTCTAAGGCTGAATTCATCCAAATGATTCTAGTGAAGGTGTATGGAGTTTAAAAACACAGTGGAGCATTTTCTGTATTACCTCATGACATCACAAGGTGGAACTGAGTGTTTTATCTTTGAGAGAAGAACAAAACACAACTCCAGGTCTGTGTGTGATGAGGAAAATAGAGTAATACTAAGAAAGAGAGAGTGTATTTATATGAATGACGTGAGAGCTGATTGGCTGAGAGGTAAAAGCAGTAGGATGTGATTGGTTAACAATGATAGGCAGGTTACAGGAGGTATGGTTGAAAGCCACACTTCTTGGTTGATTTCTCACATAGCAGTTTCATTTGCTCAGTTCTTTTGTGGAGCGGTGACTTTGCGCTGCTGGGAATTCCTTTCATTTCTTAATGTGTGTGCTCCAGTCAATGTCAACTTCACCTTTTTTCCCTCTTTTGTCACTTAAGCATTTCACAACTGAAGAATGTCACTTTATACTTAGGTGAATGACTCTTCAAACATGTGGTATTTTTTCTGTCAAACAACACAAGAGCAATTCAGTACAAACAGAGCGGAAGTGAAAGGTGCACTGTGGGACTTTTCTCGAGTAGGGTCCAACATCTGATTGTCTCCATGGAGATGTTGTTATGTATGTTATGTATGGCATTTAATCAATTCATTTTGCATTCATTCACTTACAATCATTCATCCATCCATTTTCTTTCTTAGACCGTTGTGAGACAGGTTCGTTTTACCCTACTGATGTGTTGTTGCAGTAGTAATCCTGCTCAGTACGAGAAGAACTGCAGGTTCAGACATTTGGTGTATGTGCTTGACTGAGGAGCCAATGGTGTGAAGCTACCATCTGTGGGATTATGACTGAACGCCTCTAAATCACAATCCCGCCCAAACATAACGATACTGTAGCGTCACGGATCTTTGAGTGGTCCAGGATAGCCGGCCCATCTCACACCTCATGTTTGTGAAGAACCTGGTACTAAATAACTTGCAGACAATCCTGCGAGTTCATAGGGGCAGCAGTCTAACTAGGGACTCAAAGACCTCCTTCACCCCAAACACTTCCTCCAGCTCCTCTAGGCAGACCCTGAGGTGTTCCCAGGCCAGCCCAGAGACGTAGTCCCTCTAGTGTCCTGGATCTTTCTCGGGGCCTCCTTCTAGTGGGACATGCCCAGAACACCTCCAGAAGGAGGCATCCAAGAGGCATCCGGAACAGACGCCCGAGCCACCTCAGCTGCTCCTCTCGATGTGGAGAAGCAGCGGCTCTACTCCGAGCTCCTCCCGTATGATTGAGCTCCTCACCCTATCTCTAAGGGGGCACCCAGCCACCCTGCGTAGGAAACTCATTTG